CTTATCTTTTTGTCTATATATATTCTATGGATACTTGTCACTTTAAAGCACCCGCAGCAGCCAGGATCTTCACTTTTTCTCAAGAGGAGCTACTGGCTCTAAAGCTGATGGCACAGGCTGGAATACGACATGACATCCTGGCTGAGCTGAGAAGGTTTTTGCCGGGGCAGCAAGGCTGGCGCTTGGCTAGAGGCTAGGCTAACTGACCGAAGGCGTTTCAAACTATCAATCCCGACAGTAATTATGGGAAACGTGAAACAAGCTGGACGAGCTGTCGGTGCTGATCAACCAGCGTATCTACCGGGAGTGCAGCTTGTTCATCCTCTCAGAATCGTGGCTAACCCAGCTAACACCGGACGCTAACGTGGACCTGCCGGGCTTCGCTACAGTGAGAACGGACAGAGATACGAAAACATGTGGAAAATGCAGAGGTGGGGGTCTCATCACGTACGTTAACAACCGCTGGTGTAACCCAAGTCACGTTTTTGTCAAGGTGGTTCTGTGTTGTCGGGATTTAGAACTGTTAGCCACTAGCCTGCAGCCATATTACTTGCCACGAGGGTTCAGTCACGTGATCGCAATGTATGTTTACATCCCCCTGAGTGCCGATGCAGCCGCTGCCTGTGAGAAGATTCACACAGTCACAGCAAGGCTGCAGACCCAACATCCAGAGGCACTCATCATCATCTCTGGGGACTTTAATCACGCCACACTGAACTCTGCCTTGCCTGCTTTCCACCAGTTTGTGAACTGCCCGACCAGAAAAAAACGGACAATCGACCTCCTGTATGCAAATGTACGGGACGCATACAGAGCCACCCCCCCTCCCCCCTCTTGGGAAGTCAGACCACAACCTAGTCCTCCTACAGCCTCAGTACACCCCTCTGGTCAAAAGACAGCCGGCCACAACACGCACCATCAGGAGGTGGTCTCCTGAGGTGGAGGAGGCCCTGAGGTACTGTATGGAAACCACCTCTTAGGATGTTCTGTTTTTCCCCCATGGCGAGGACATTGAGGGGCTGACCCACTGCCTGACAGACTATCTGAACTTCTGTGTGGATGTAGTCTCTCCTGCTAAGACTGTTCCTTGTTACCCAAACAACAAACCCTAGGTGACGCAGGAGGTCAAAGCTGCACTCAACAGGAAGAAGGTGCCCTTCAGGAACAAAGACAGGGAGGCAATCAGATCAGCACAGAGGGAGGTGTAGCTATCCCTGAAGTAGGCCAAAGACACCTACAGGAGGAAGGTGGAGCAGCAGCGCCCCCGCCCCCCTTGCATAACAGCCGACCAGGTCAGGGGACAACTGAGGAAGATCTGACACAGGAAGGCAGCAGGACCAGACAAGATGTGTCCACGGATGCTCAAGTCCTGTGTTGCTCAACTGGGGGAGCCGCTACAGCACATCTTCAACCTCAGCCTGCAGCTGGAGACAGTGCCCACCCTCTGGAAGACATCCTGCATTGTTCCAGTGCCAAAAGAGACCCAGCCCAGTAAGCTGAATGACTGCTGACCGGTGGCACTCACTTCACACCTGATGAAGACGCTGGAGCGGCTCCTCCTCCACCTCCTCAGGGCCCAGGTTCAACACGCCCAGGACCCTCTACAATTTGCCTATTGCCAAATGTTGGAGTGGAGGATGCTGTACCTCCTCCATCAAGCCCACTCACTCCTGAACAAGGGAAGCGGCACTGTGAGGATTCTTTTTATGGACTTCTCAAGTGCTTTAATACCATCCAGCCCCCGCTATTGTGGGGAAAGTTAGAAAGGATGGGAGTGGACTTGTGCCTGGTGGACTGGATCTCCGACTACCTCACTGACAGACCACAGTATGTCAGACTGAAGGACACCACATCTGAAACTGTGGTCAGCAGTACAGGGGCCCCTCAGGGGACAGTGCTGGCCCCTCTCCTCTTCACCCTGCACACCTCGGACTTCTGTTGCAACTCGGAGCTGTGCCACATACGGAAGTATGCAGATGACACAGCCATCATGGGGTGTATCAAGGATGACAGAGAGAGTGAGTACAGGTGTCTGGTGGACGACTTTGTTGTCTGGTGCAGAGAAAACCACCTGCAGCTCAACGCCTCAAAGACAAAGGAACTGGTCATAGACTTCAGGAAATCTGGACCATGCCCACGACCAGTTCTGATTGAGGCACATGAGGTTGAACTTGTACAAAACTACAGGTACCTTGGGCTGTGGCTGAACAGCAGGTTGGACGAGACATGCAACACAGACTACCTGTACAAGAGGGGACAGAGCAGGCTGTACTTCCTGAGGAGGCTTCGGTCGTTCAACATCTGAAGGAAACTCCTGCGGATGTTCTACCAGTCGGCGGTCACCAGCGTCCTTTTCTACGCCGTGGTGGACGCATCAAGGCTGGACAAATTAATCAGGTGGGCCAGCTCTGCAGTGGGCATGAAACTGGACTCCCTGGTGACAGTGGCAGAGAGGAGGACACTGAACAAACTGCTGGCCAACATTATTATTATTATTATTATTATTATTACTAATGTTGTGTTGGTGTTGTGTTGTTGTTGCTGGTGCAGCAATTTCCCTGAGGTTTCCACCAAAGGGATCAATAAAGTTCTATTCTATTCTTCTATTCTATTTCTTTTCAGTCTGTTGTTTCAGGTTCAGCAGACAGACAGCCTGAGGGAAGAAGCTCTTCCTTATCCTCTCTGTGTTTGCCTTCAGGCAGTGGAAACACCGCCCTGACGGCAGCAGAGAGAACAGTCTGTGGCTGGGGTGGGTGGGCTCACTCACAATCTTCCTGGCCTTTAACGTGCATCGTTTAGTGTAAATGTCCTGCAGGTTGGGGAGAGTGGTTCTGATGGTGCGCTCAGCTGAGTGGACCACCCTCCTTAGGGCCAAGAAGTCCTGCTAGGTGCTGCTGCCCATCCAGGTGGTGATACTCCCAGCCAGAACACTCTCAATGGTGCAGGTGTAAAAGTTCCTGAGCACCTTGAAAGGGAGTTTAAAGTCCCTCAGGCGTCTGAGGAGTTAGAGACGCTGTCGAGCCTTCTTCACCAGGGTGTTGATGTGACATGTCAGGTCCTGCGTGATGTTGACACCCAGGTACTTGAAGCAGTCCACTTGCTGCACCTCTGTCCCGCTGATCCTGAGTGGGTGGGATGCTCTCTGCTGCTTCTTGCTGTAGTCCACAATCAACTCTTTGGTCTTGCTGACGTTCAGGAGGAGGCTGTTGTCTCTGCACCAGTCCTCCAGGTGGGTGATCTCCATCAAATAGTCCTCCTCGTTGCTGTTGGAGATCAGACCCACCACTGCTGTGTCGTTAGCAAACTCAATGATGGTGTTAGAGTCTGATGTGGACAGGCAGTCATTGGTGTACAGTGAGTAGACAGCCCTGGGAGGCACTGATGTTCAGGGTGCGTGAGGGGGACTGGTGGTTCCCCACTCGAACCACCTGTGGTCTGCTGGTCAAAAAGCTGTAGATCCACCTGCACAGGGAGGAGGTGAGTCCGAGGTCCTGCAGCTTAGTGACCAGTCTGGAGGGGATTATGGTGTTGAACGCTGAACTGAAGTTCACGAACAGCATTCGCACACAATTCCCCTTCCTAGTGTCCAGGTGGGCCAGGGCTGTGTGAAGCAGGTGATTCATGGCGTCGTCTGTGGATCTGTTTGGCCGGTATGCAAACTGTAAGTATCTCGGGATCTTGTTCTTCAGTAATGTGGTGAAGAGGGAGCTGAGCCGTAAGGCAAAGCTTTCGATTTACCAGTCCATCTACGTCCTAACCCTCACATATGGTCATAAGCTCTGAATAGTGACAGAAGGAACAAAATCACAGATACAAGTGGCCGAAATGAGCTTCCTCTGTAGAGTGGCTGGGTTCAGCCTTAGAGATAGGGTGAGAAGTCCGGACATCCGGAGGAAGCTCGGAGGTGGGCCTTTGCATTGAAAGGAGCCAGTTGATGTGGTCTGGACATCTGATTCGGATGCCTCCGGGGAGGCTTCCTTTGGAGGTTTTCTGAGCATGTCTGCCTGGAAGGAGACCCTGAGGCAGACCCAGAACCCGCTGGAGGGATTATATTTCTCGCCTGGCATGGGAAACATAGGGTTCCCCCAGGAAGAACTGGAAAGTGTTGCCAGGGGGAAGGACGTCTGGAATGACCTTCTCCACCTGCTGCCTCCATGACCTGACCCCAGATAAGCAGAAGATAATGGATGGCTAGATGGACTATTTCAATTGTCTTTGTTTCTTCAGGAAAAATAGATTGCAATGATTGCAACGAATTATTATTTTCATTATAAATTAATGTACATATTATTTTCTTTATTTATTTGTTGGTCTATTAAATATCAGATCATAGTGAAAATGTCCATTATGGTTTCCCACAACTCAAAGGTCAGGTCATTTAGGTTCTTTGTCCAAACCCTAAAGGCAGAAAGAAGTTAGTTCGTTTAAAAATCTATAAAATAAAGAAAAATGGAATTCTATAACCAAAAGCATTTTGCTCACTTTAATTTGTGCATATGTGAAAAGGTTTGTTGTGAATGGTTTACGTATTTGCATTGAATCTCTCAATCTGCTCTGTCTCTGCAGGTGCTGGTATCAGATGGTGGTCCTAATCCCAGACAGAGTACGGTGTGGGTGATGATTCAGGTCCTGGATGAAAACGACAACAAGCCAACATTTCCTGAGAAGGTCTATCAGGTCAAACTGCCAGAGAGAGAGCGTAGAAAGAAGGGCGAGCCCATCTATCGGGTATTTGCATACGACAGAGATGATGGGCCCAACAGTGACCTTTCTTACAGCATTGTGGATGGCAACGAGGATGGCAAATTTTTCATTGACCCCAAGACAGCAGTAGTATCATCACGCAAGGCCTTCACTGCAGGGAGCTACGACATCCTGACCGTACGCAAACCTTCATCAATTCTGCTGCTAGTTTTAGGAATTTTTTCCAGGTTTTCATTAGTGCTGAAAGAATACTAGATATGAATTTTGATTTTGATGCACATTCTGGTTTCAGACTTGCTGCCTTTGTTTCTGTTTGTGAGTTAGAAAGACAGTTGGAAAACTGTCTAAACTATTTCAGTTGTAATTTGAAGGGCTCTGGAAACTACAGGCTCAGGCTGGGATTATAGTGGGATGTACACACTGACAGCTGTGGATACAGACGCTTAATTATCAAATGCTATTTTTACTTGGCAGTCGATTGACATTTATGTATTTTGCTCATACACACTACAAATCAAATCAAAATGACAAAATAAATGCAAGATAAAGAAGAGATGTGCATGCTCAGTTGGTGGTCTAGTAGTGTAAACAAAACGATTTATCACAACAAATTGGAGGGCGCTGCACAGAGCCTCGAGTGCAGTCTCTGATGAGGTCATTTATGTCACTTGCATCCTAAAAGACCCTCACATACTCTCAGATGTGGAAACCATGCCAGTAACCTTAGAGACAGGATCCTAGCATCATGCTAGTATTTTAGTTATTTATTTATTTATTTTTTTAAACATCAATAACTCCTTGGTTGTGTTTTTGCACGACTGTGTTTTTTTTGTTTGTTTGTTTGTTTAGATCAAAGCAACGGATAATGGCCGTCCTCAGAAGTCCTCCACAGCTCGTCTGCACATCGAGTGGATCCGTCGACCGCCTCCATCAACTCTCCCACTGATGTTCGAAGAGCCGTTCTACAATTTTACTGTCATGGAGAACGACAAAGTGGCTGAGATTGTAGGTGTGGTGTCCCTGCAGCAGAGTTCCGTCCCCTTATGGTTTGACATCACAGGTAAAATCCGCCTGTTGGTGAAGAAAATTGCTTTCAGAAAGTAGAGCATTTTGGTTGTGTATGATAAGGTGTGTTCAGGTTTGTGCATGGTGTGTATTGGGCTGACAGTATTGGTGTGTATTGCTGTATATGAGGTGCAGCTCAGATACTGTGGCCTCACTGCATGATCTGTTATGCTCTGCCCATCCCAGTCACCATGGCAACAGCCTCTCTAGCTGCCAGGTCAAGTAATGAAAACAGATTATATAGTCTAAAGAAAATTGATATGAACTGAATTCAGGAAAAAAAAAAAAAGATTAAACAAATGCGCATGCCTATGTTAATTTTCTTGACCCTTTTCTTTAAGGACTATACCTTTAATGATTTTGTGTAATTAATTCTAAGCATTATTCATGACCTATATGTTGTCAGTGCTGAGAGGACGCGTCTGTCAGCTCTCAATAAAAACAGATTGTAAAGTCAGTTTGATCCAAGTTGAAAATGCCTAACATGGCACACTTTATATGTAATGCTCAGTGCACTATGCTCAGTTTTAAGGCATTATGTGTGGTGACATTTCTGGTGGGTTTAAAGTGATTTCACAACTTAAATAATCAGCACTTTTAATTCCAATTCTGTACATTTTTTTCACCCCACCCAGTATTTCAATGTATGTACAATGACAGTTCCCTCGCTGTGATGCATGCATTGTAGGCTCCAATCAGTTGCCAGTCAAAACAACATGGATAATAACAACCAGGAAAAACAGCAGTCTCCATCATGTGCCATCCAACTTTCCTTGTGTTGTCACTGAGCAGTGACAGTCAGTATGTATCTAGCTGCAGATACCTTCTGGCTTGTGCTTCTGGCGTTCCATAGCACTGACCATCTCTGCTCTGTATTTCTTTTATTGTTTGTGCCCATTTCTTACTCACTCTGTAAAAATTCTTTCTCACTGAGGATTTTTCACTGTGTACACATCCTCTCCCAGGAGCCACTGCTATTTAAAAAAAATATATTTTAACTTTTAATTATTTAGTATTTAGGAGACAATATGAATTAGTAAATTAATCTTTGTACACATACCTACAACAGTCACATAAACCTTCAGTGATCTAAGGCAGAATATTCATTATTAACATTACAGTGGAACTTCAGCAGCACCACATAGACTGTGTATAAATTTAATTTATGTATAAAATCATTAATGCAATTTGTGGATCAAAATTCTGTTATACAAATATGAATTATAATATGTGAGTTGTTGGTAACAAGTACTTAATAAATATGATAATATAACATATTAAAAAAATGGTGAGCCTATATACATTTTTAGAAAGGTGACATTTTAGAAGTTTGAACAAGTTAGTAAGATTCATAGTAAGATTGAAGTCTTTGTGGTGCTTGTATTGTCTATTGTGTGAGAGGTTGTAGCATACAGTAAAAAAATGGCCCTTGCTGAACCAGCCACCTGTACCTATCAGTTTTTGTGAAACTAAAGCAGTCCCATGCTGCTTTTTCTTTACTTCTGGAAGATTACAAAAGTCATTCATTTATCTATTCTTTGACAGCATTATCACAGGTTATTTTAAACCTTTTAACTTATTACGAAACTCTCAAGAAAAGAAAAACAACACTGGATGCTGTCGTTTGATGCGAAATGTTTAAATGTTTACAATATATTGTCTGATAGCAGTTTAAATAATATCAGCATTATTTTAGTAACTGAAACCCACAAGCCAGTGTAGCAGTGCTACAACAAATCCCAAATATGACAAAATTCCTAATAATGTGTACTTTCACAAGTTATTTTGAGTAGACTTTGTAACATGTACACAAGCTTAGATGAGTTTCAGCTCATCAGAGACGGTTGCTATCTCTGTCTTTTCTCCTCATGTCCTTTGCTCATCATGTCATTCTTCTGTCTCTGTCCTCCTCCCTCTAGCCTGTCTGTCCTTCTTGTCTTACACTCTCTCTCCTCTCTCTTGTAAATGCTTCATGCTTGGAAGGTCCCAGGTCTTTCCGTGAGACGTTCTATATTCTGCAGAGCGCTTGTGGCAGGAACTGTTCCTCAGAAGGTATCTCGCTTCCAACTTCCACTAAAGCTCTTTGCTGTTGTCTCTGTACTTCCTTTTCTTTCTTTTCCTTTCCTTTTTCTTGTTTTTGTTGGCACCCATGGTCCACCCCTGTGCTTGTCATCCGTGATGCTAACGCAAATGTGTGTCTGTTTGATGGGTGATGCGTTGAATAGAGCACACCACAAAGAAGCTGAGAGCGTTGGTGAATGTGTGTTTATGTACAAGTGTTTATTGTGTGTGTGTGTGTGTGTGTGTGTGTGTGTGTGTGTGTGTGTATGTGTGTGTGTGTGTCACTATATTCAGCTAAAGTGTAGCCAAGGTTAATTGAAGGGACAAAGGTTTAGTAAAAAGGTATCATAACCTTCTTATCTGCTCCTATTGCAATAATCCTTGGGGTTACCTCAGTGACAACTTTGTCTTATGACCTGCTGTTAGTAGCACCTGTACACACATTCCTTGTGGAATCAGTGCATGCTTTCGAATCACCCACTGACTGCATTCCACAGAGGGATGCAGTTTTGGGAAACAAGAAGCACAACACAGCTTTTACAAGTCTGCATATAGCCAGAACACCAAATACTCACTACTTAGCAACCAGTGCCTAAACCACAGAACCCAGTCATAACATCCAGCAGCTAGTGCAATAATCACCATCAATCTCACGATGCAACAAGCTTGTAGTGCTTTAAAACACCTTACAGCCATCAAGTGAAAACTGGAAATTTGTAAATGTGAATAAAAGTGTGACCTAATGCAGATGCGGAGAGGGCTCAGAGACAAAGAGAAGAACAAAACATTAGAAGTAAAGAAAATGAAGAATTATAAAAAGTAAAAATCTCTAGATATAAATAAATATAAGAGAATAGAATAGAAAAGAAAAGAAGAAAAGGAAAGGAAAGTGGTTCATGTTACTTTTCTACTGGAGGAGTACTCAAAACCCATGTGCACACACATTCACACACCAATTGCAACAGAGCTGCCATGCGAGTTGTTGAAGTATAGAAAAATGTAAGTGTGTACAGGGTGTCTCCCAAAATTACTGTGGATGGTTACATTTGTAAAAAATGAATCATATTTATTTTGTAAGACTGAGAATGACAAGCAGTGATGTCAAAAATGCTTGAAAAATTCAGCTGGCGTTGACTGTCTGTCAGGTCAGAAGGAAAGATGGAAACAGTCTGGAACAGTGTAGGCAGTTTACCTGTGAGACAAACATCATAGATTCATGAAATGGCAGACCATCTGGATGATAGAAGTGAGCATCTCAACACTTATACAACATGCTCACACAGAAACATGCACACACACAGATTTAATTAGCAGAAAGCATACGGAACGTATGCATTCACACACTACTTCCTCTAAACACACACCAGTGCTCTATTTATAGCCTAAGCTGCTGGTGCTCCACCCAGCAGGCTGAACCAGACAAACACAGACAGGCAGACATACTAGTCAGCGGTGGTCAGACTGGATAACAGACCAGCCTCCGTCTGGTCCACAGTACCTGTGTGTAAAATGGTGTTCATTAAGATTAGATTAATTAGGATGCTTTAGTCACAGTTGCAGTGAGTTGTAGAGTAGGAGTCCTGCCTGTAAGAGTGAGAAGATAAAAATTCTAATAACTTTAGAGGGTTAAATAAATGGGATTATTGGTTTCATTTCTGTTTATCGTATAAGCATGACAAAAACACTTGCAGTTGTTTTGATATTGAAAAAAAAAAAAAAAGATCTGGTGCAAGACAAATAAACAAAAAAAGGTTTAAATGAAGAGTACACCCTTGCTTCTGGTCTGGATATTTTTACATGGTAAATGGTCTACATTTATTTTGTGACTTTTAACCTTAGCAGTTCTAAAAAGTGCTTTCCACTGTTTCTCCTTGACACACACATTCACACAGCAATTTTTAACATTTGCCAGTCGTCATTTATCTTATGAGTATGCTTAATTATTCCTTTTCATTTGCTTTACATTACAGTCACAGAGAGTGCTTGATTCAGATTTTTTGAAGAAGCTAGGATAGATGAAAATGAAAAATATTGTCACTTTAACCACTCATGCAAAATCATGTGAAAGATCCCAAGTTTGCGAATGGCAGAGGTTAACTGTGTGGCAACACTACATTCTGTTTTCTCTGACTGTTTTCTGTCACTAAAGTAGACCTGCACAAGGTGAGACAGCACCATATTCTGTTGTAAGACAACTGTCCAGTTTAGGCAGTTGAGTAAGGATAGAATCAGCTTTAAACAGGCAGTGGAAACCAATTTTAGAACGGATCAGAGGGTTCTCTGCTTCCCCTACTTTATGGAATGTTGGATTTTGTCTGTCTGTAATTTGGCATTGGCAAAGCGGAGGCGTTTTCTTTCTTTAGTAGGATTCTTGCCAAACCCTCTCCTTCCTTATGTGCTAAAAGAGGAATTTTAGGCTGGATGGCAGACATGAGTGTTTGAGGCTTCCTGGGATCACATTAGGGTTCACTATTTTTTTTCTTTCATCTTTGCCCATTATTATCCCATGGTTAACAGAACAAATAGCACAGCCCAGATTACAGTACATATTCCACTCACTCCAATTTAAAAAGGAACACCAAGTAATTTTCACTCATCTGTACATGTCTAAACCTGTGCTTATGAGGACTGTCCTCAGTCAAGGTCAGGTAAAAGTCTAGTTTCCTTGTGATCAATCAGTGTTTGAATAAAAAATATCATATTTATGTACATAGTTAGGCAACACATCCTCAGTATGTCAGACAGTAGAGAAGCCAAACAGTAACTTTTTCCTAGGGATAACAGTTCCTGTCAGGGTGGATCATTTTCCAGGGATTATTATTAGGAGTGTGAAGATTCACTGATACGAACCAGAAATTGACTTTAACTGGCGATGCTTGCTGTATTTACACTCCAGATGTTCCATTTGCAGATTCATCCCAACCAGACATGCGT